TGGTGACCTGGAACTTCTTGGTCAGGACGGTGTTGTAAGGATTCAGGAATTTGATCTCCAGGTGTTCCAGATAACGACCAAACTTCTTAACATACCAAAGAGCTGACTCAAATTCGGATGCGTGTACCCTGGAAGGTCTCCCGCTGAAGGTGATGGTCCTGTATCGCCAGAGGTCGGCCGAGTACATCATCTGGTTCCACTTTCTGCAGACCAGGGCGGCCCTGGACCTGTCCCTGTCTCCCAGCCACCAGAAAACACGGCGCAGGCACACATCGGGCAGAGTGGCCCAGCAGCTCTGGTCTTGGGGCTGGATCAGTTCTCTTTCTTCGTCCATGAAGGAACTGGGACGGACGGTGCAGCTGTGTGGTAGGCAGGGCTTCCAAAAAGGAGGGAAGAAAAGCAGTCACTTGTTTTCTGTGGGAGTAAAAATGAACGGCCATTACCTGCCAAATAGAAATTAAACTCAATTGGACTAGCTTTCTCTGCAATCTCGTATACATTAGGCACTGTGACAGGTGCAGGTGGCTCCATGATAAATTCATGATACAGTCCACACCTGTACGAGTTTCACAGTCTATCCAGGGACACAGACCAGAACTCAACTACAAAATGGTGAGAAAAGTGAAAAGGTTCAGACAGACTCACAGTATAGAGTAGCAAAAATAGAGGGTGATTCATTCTGTTTGGGTAAGGAGGAAGTAGAGAGGGTTGCTCGGAGGAGGTGACATCCAAGCTGGGGTTTTTTGTTTTTATTTTTGTATTTGAGACAGGGTCTCATTCTGTTGCCTGGGCTGGAGTGCAGTGGAGTCATCATAGCTCACTTAGCCTCTAACTCCTGGGCTCAAGTGATCCTTCTGCCTCAGCCTCCCAACCAGGCTGGGTTTTGAAGGATGAGCAGGATTTGCAAGGCAGATCAGGTTGGCCTAGGGTGGTAGTGGAGGGACCGATGCATTCTGGACAGAGGAAACAATCTGTGCAAAGCCACAGAACTGTGTATGTGATGTGCTCATATTCAGGGAACTAACAACTGTTTAGCTATCTGGACTTTAACTTTTACGTGGGCAGGGAGTGGAGGAACTGGATCCAGTGGGAGTAGTGGGAGGTGCTGGATCAAGGGGCCCTGAGTGACGTGATAAAGACTATGTCCTGGAGGCCAGGGATTCCCACTGTCCCCTCTCCTCAAGATCTGGGAATTCTGACATGGCCTGCCCCCTTTCCTGGATGAGAGGCACTGCATGTTCTGAGCTACGGAGCTGACGGTTAGGTTAACATTCAAGAGGTGCAGCAGCAGAACAAGGGTGGGAACCCAAACTGGGGTCATGGAGAGCCATGGGGACTGCAGGGTCACATGCCTGGAAGTGATGTGGTCAGTCTTGGGGTGTAGAAAGGACACTGTGGGGAAGCAGAGGAAGGACGGTCAGAGCAGAGCCAGGTATTGCAGTGGGAATAGTGATGGGGCTGTGAGCTCTTTAGAGGACACGATTTGGTAAGTGGCAAAGGTAGAAGTGGGGAGGACTGAAATGTTTCTGACCCCACTGATTGCAGGCAGTACCCCGGCCATGCTAGGGAGTCCCGGGGAGAGCTGGACAAAGGCCTGCCTGATACACACGGCCGTGCATCAGACTTTGTATAGCCAACTGATGAAATTTTCACAACGTCTAGCTTTCAATTTCCCCTGCCTGAAAACTCTCCTTGTTTTCTTTCCTCTCTAGTCCCCATTCTTCAAGGTTCAAGCCCTACCACTCCATAAAGCTTTTATCAGCTACTTTACCAAGGAAACAAAGATTATTGATCGTGGCCTATAAAATTACAGGGCTATAAAGAGACCTGAGAATCGATTTCTTTTCAGATGGGCACTGAGGCCCAGAGAGGTAAAGGGATTTGCTTGTGGTCACATAGCAAGTTAGTAACAGGGCCCAGACTAGAACTTAGGCTTTTTGACTATTTCTCCTGTACTTTTCCTATTCCCGCTTCTTGGGCCTCAGGTGCTGAGGGGCAAATTAATCATATATCTCAATTCAGGACATCATCTGTGCAGGACCCCTCTCTGGTTTTATATATTCATGTATTCCCTTTTAACCCTCTGTCCCATTCCATTGCCCTCCCCATAGGCAACTATTCCAGCCGACCCTCCCATCTGCAGATCTGGACAGACTTCCATAAAGGATTTCACAGCAGCCTGTCCCCACCTGTGACACAGGGCCCTAGTCAGTTCCCAGCTCAGCTACTTCCATATTCAGCCTGCCCCCTTCTCGGTTCCGGCTGGCCAGGGTCTGCCCCTTTAGATAATCTGTGTCCTTGCCTCTCTCTCCCAAGGGACCCACCTACTCCTTGAGGCTAGTGACATCCTCATTTTGTGTCTGAGAAGGCACTTAAACAATTAAACAATGAAGAAATTTAACAAATGAAGAAATAGGAATGTCTCTTCAATCACTTGTAAACTGCCCAGGGAGAGGGGCCCCTATAGCACTCAGCTCTAAGAAGAGCTCCTACAATGTGCTCCAGAAAAACTAAACCAATTCCAAAGCTCCATGAAACTGCTCGCTTTAGCAAAGTCGGAAGTCAAAAGAATCATCAGACACGGAAGCTGGAAGGGGTGGGGATGGAAGAATAGGTCTGGTGGGCTGGGAAAGTTGTTGCAAGAAGCCCCCAAATCATGTATAATTACTAGGAACCCCACCCACCCCCAGACCTCATCAGAGGCAGCTTAGCTTAGGGGGTTGGATCCTAGCTCTGTCAGCTGCTGTTGTGTGACCTTAGGAGAGTTAATTTCTTAGTGCCTCAGTCCTCGCATCTGTAAATAGGGGTAAAAACTGTACCCTTCTCCTAGTGTTGAGAGGATTAAATGAGCCGATATACCGGAAGCAGCAGAGCAGTGCCTAGCGCATAGTCAGTGCTACACACGTGTTGGCTGCCATTAGTAAGCAAGCTGGTGCCAGGGACTTTCTGCGACATCCCTGTCGGATGATGTGAATACGCCCATTTTACAAATGGGGGATGTTGGAAGGTTCATAAAGTTTACGGTGAGATCATGTAGAAGCAGGGAGGTGAGATTAGAACCCAGGCCAGGACTCCCAAACCTAGGCTTGGTCACCATACCGCACAGCTGCCACCGAGGGAAGGAAACCTAAGGATGTCCTACACCTGGGGCAGGGGAGGTGGCTCGGAAACTCCCGTAGCCAAAGATGCTTCCAAGAGGAGGCGGGTGAGGAGGGCAGCCCGCCCCTCCCCGCGCGGCCCTCGGGGGTCCCACCGCACCCCAGCCTGCGCTCGCGCGTTACCCGCTGGCTGCGCCCAGTCTGGGCTGCAGGGACCGGAGCGCGCCTGCCTGCTCCGCCCGCGCCGCTGCTGCTCGGACGCCAACTCCGCGAGCGCCCGGGGTCCGCGCCTGGACCTCGCCCAAGCTCGATGCCAAGCACCCGGCCGCCTTTGTGACGCGCCGCCCCCTGCGGGACTCTGCTTGTCCGCACCGGTCGCTGGGGCGCACACCTGGAGTTGCCAGATGAGATGATCGCGCGTGTAGAGGGCGAGACGGGCCCCCGCGCAGACCGTCCAGGACGGCGCCCCGGCCAGGGGCTGGGAGGCAGGAGGCGCGGCCGGCGCTCGGGCGAGGATGGGCACGGCCCCTGCCCTTCCCCCTGCAAGCGAGGAAGAGGTTCTGCCCGGCACGTGGGGCTCAGGCCCGCTCAGTTCTCCGCCTTTCCCGCCCTGACCCAACCCTGGGGTCTCCTGGCTTCTCCTTTGGAAGCCGGCGCTGCGCGGTCAGCCCTTGGGCTCCACCTTCCTCTCCTTAGACTTGGTCCCACAGGACGGACGGCCTCAGCAGACCCGACTCACCGAGCACCACGGAGCGTGAGAACCGCGCTGCCTTTCCAGTTTCGGGAGGGTGGGGCGCACCCATCCTTGGCCCTCCCCTGCCCTGGCAGAGGCGAGCGCCCTAAACAGGTCTCCCCAAAGCCCAGGCAGACAGGTAGGGTCCCCCAGGCCGCCCTCCCTGCCCGAAGCTTTGCGCTGCATCTGGCCCTCGCCCACCGCCCAGCCTCACTTCTCTGTCCCTCCCTCCTTCCGTGTCTTCTGTCGCTTTCCTTTCCCTGCGCACTGCTGTCCTCCCTCGCCCTGGAAAACCAGTGTGGAATCTAAATAAAGGTGAACAAGAAACTTTCAGGGAGGCGTTTTTATTTTTCAGGGACGAAGCTGGGTTCTGCAAGGTGTCTGGGCTGTGAGGCTCTGAGGCTTAACCAGAAGTCTCAGGCAGAAGAACTGCAACCTTTTTTTCTTTTGGTTTATGTGCAGCTGTTGGGCAAACCAATATCTCTGTTCAAAAGAAGGAAAATAGTTAGTCCAAACCTTTTCTTTTAAATCCCAATGAATAAACCCGTGTCTTTTCACAAGACCACCCTAGAAAGTAAGCAGGACAGCCAGCTTTGAAGAGGAAATCTAAATCGGTAGTACCTTTTCTTTTCCAAATCTAGCTGGAATTTCTCACTTGTTTTCCTTTCGATGAGGCTAACCACCAGCATTTCTCCTAAAGAAACGGATATTTTAAAAGTCTGTTATGTTTAAAGTGGAATGTGCTAGTTCCTGGAATATCTCTCCAAATTGCTGTCCCCTGTTGTAGAGCATGAGCCCTGAGCCAGAGGGGCCCAGCCACCAGGTGTGATGGCTTAGGAAAGGCATGGAGCCCACCGAGCCAGAAGGGGTAAGGGAGGCTTGTCACCATCAGGGGGTGGAGGAACAGATAAGAGAATCCCACAGTCCCGCACCATGGACTCTTATGCAGCTATTAAAAAAAAAAATGAGCCACATTGTTTGTCTTGGAGGGATTTCTGTGGATGTTGCTGAATCATAACATTAAGATGTAAAGAACCGTGTGTAACAGGGTTCCAAATGTGTGTGTTTGTGTGTGGTTACATAATAAAGTTGCCAAATAAAATACAGGATGCTCAGTTAAATTTGAATTTCAGTGAAACACAGAATCATTGCATGGGACATACTTACACTAAAAAAAATTCTTTGTTTTCCTAAAATTCAAATTCGACTAGGTGTCCTGTGGTTTTATTTGCTAAATCTGGCAACCCTATTATATAAGGATGGAGAAGGGCGTGGAAGGAAACACACCAAATTGTGGGAGGCAAGGGAAAACGGCACTAATAGCACCCCTAGCAAGTATGAAATTAGCCCATTTTTGTAAAATTATAAGCTTCTGTGCATATATAAATGCATAAAGAAGTTAGAAAAAAAGATTTAGGCCAACCTTTTTGTAAGAAGTGTGCGTCATATATTAAAGGAAAAAGGCAAATGGCAGAGTAGTGAGTACAGGAAGGTAGTGTGGGGGGAAGGAAACAATTCAAACCCTGTTTATGTTTGTTCAGGTTTGTGTGAGCAAAGACAAAGTTTTGAAAAGGTGCCCATGAGGCTGTTGAAATTGGTATCTTGGGGCATGGGATTGGGGAAAATCGGGCGGGAGTGGGGGATGATTAGCTTTGCTTTTGTACTTCCTTTTGTGGTATTATGTCAACTAGTTATAACAAAATCTAGTACTTTTGTATTTTGAAAAACATCAAACAGTGAAAAAAATATTTTTAAGTGAGGCATCCAGTCTGGAGGTTAAAGGCATAAACTTTGCAGCTATGTGCACGTGGATGCCAGACTAGATTCTGCTGCTCTCTAATTATGTAGCTCTTGGGAAGCTACTCTTTCTGTCCATTTTCCTCATCTGTGAAATGGGGATAAAATACATGCCTACTGTTTACAATGAAGATTAACCATTTGTAAAGAGCTTTGCATTGCAACTGGCACACAATGGTTAACGACCTCTAATGCAATTCTTATTGTTACTAGAAAATAATCTAGGACGTAAAAATCAGGATATTCAGGGAGATGGCTGCAAACCCTGATCTGCTTGAAGCAAACCTTGATCTGCTGGAAGTAAGCCACCAACTGACCTAGGATCTTGACCAAGACACTTCTGATCTCTGGGCCTCCGTTGCCATATCTACACCACGAGAGAGGTAGACTGGGTACCCTCTGCTTCATTCATTTACTCAACAGTTTTGAAGCACTTGTTTTGTGTCAGTCCCTAGGTTGGAAGCTGGAGACACAGAATGAGAGATCTGGCTCTATTTTCAAAGGTGACCCAGTCTCTGGAAGGCGATGCAAATAAACCAGGTGGTAAGTGCTAAGAGGGAGTGCATCTGGGCACACAGAGAAAGGGAGACAGAGAAGGGCTTTTCCAGCCACATCTGCAAACATCCTGCAGGGCTTGGATTTCTTTGACACTGTCCAGGTGGTTCACAGCCAAGAGAGCAAAGACAAGAACAAAAAGGCTGGGTACCTGATGTTGATTTAGGGTTGGCAGGGGAAGTAGGATACCACACTGAGGACATCTCCTCAGAATGTCATAGGCTGCCTCATCTTCTATAGAAGAAGTGGTCCTGGTCTTGAACTCAGACTTTGAAGGCAGACCCACAGTTTTGTTTTTGCCTCTTGGTGCTTGCTTTGATGAACTTTCAGAAAGAAGAGGAAATCTGTTTATATTTTTTGTCTTTGGACGGACATCTTGCTCTGTCGTGGAAGTTTGATTTTCAGCAGCCTGACTTGGAAGAGATGGAGGAGGAATTTGGAGCTTTCCAACTGGAAAATGTTTCTCAAACTCTGAGTTTGGACAACATTTTTTCTGCAAATTAAAAAACAACTTCAGCTATTGGACAATACAGTAGTCTAGATAACACAAAAACTTTCCACTGTAAACAAAGATGCTGGATAAAATATGACAAACGTTCCATTTAAGTTCCTAGCTGACTTTGCAGGAAAGAAAGAAAACTTTGCATTCCAGGAATGAAGGCCTGATTGGTTGCTATGGTTTGAATGTGTCCCCTCCAAAATTCAGGTGTTGTCAATGTGATGGTATTGAGAGGTAGGGCCTTTAGAAGGTGGTTACGCCATGAGGACCCTTTTCTTATTAGTGGGATTAGGACCTTACAAAAGAAGCTTCATACAGAATTTGGCTAGCTTGTCCTTCTGCCTGCCGTGCTAAGATGTAGCAAGAAGGCCCTCGCCAGACACCGAGCTGGCACCTTGATCTTGGACTTCCCAGCCTCCAGAACTGTGAGAAATAAATGTCTGTTCTTTATAATTACCCTGTCTGTGGTATTCTGTTATAACAACACAAATGGACTAAGACACTAGTTAAGCACATGAGCTGACACTTTGGTTCTGGAAGATGTGGGGTCAATTTTGTGACTAGGGGCTTGGATGACAGAAATGTCCCATCCACAGAGGTGGGAAATTGGAAGTAAGAATTCACTTCTCCTGCATAAAGCTGGGAACTTTAAAGGCTAAATTATGGTGGCTAAGAGAAAAGAATCAGCTAATTAGAAAAGGCAAAGAAGCTTTTCTACCTTGGGCTGGAATTTAAGTGTGGGGAAGAAAAAACTCATGTCCCTGAAAACTCAAAATCACAAGTCCATACCATTCTTGTGTTTGGGATTCAGATTTACATTAGTCTCATGGTTTAGGAATACCCAAGCAAAAGAATTAACATAAAAATTGAGACATATGGCAAAAAAAAATTACAAAATTCCTCTGGAGGTTACATAGCCTCAAAATAGGTCACAGAAGATTTTCACAGGTAGAGTCCCCCCAAATAGAAATTCATGATCCAAAATTACAAACACAGGGATACAGTCCACCTCAAGTAAGAGTCACAGACATAACCAGTAGCAGGATTAGCTTCCAAGAAGTTCAGATAATAGGATAGAAACTGTAAAACAAATTAATTAAAATAAGTTAATTAATCAAAACAAAGAAAAGAGTAAAATCCCACCAAAAAAGAATAGGAAAATTTGAAAGAAATATAAGTCAAACTTCTAGAAATGAAAAATGCAGATAATGAACCTCAAAGGATAGGTTAAAAGCAGCAGATGAGATTTGACCAAGAAAGAATGAATGAATTCGAAGATAGATTTGAAGAAATTACCCAGAATATAAGAGAGAAAATGTGAAAGGTTAAGAGATGTGAAACTGGAATGAGAAGGCCTAATATACATCCACTGTATTCCAGAATGAAAGTTAGGAGAATGTGGGACAGTTGGGGAATGTTGGGAATTCAAAGAGATAACAGATGAGAATTTTCAGAACTGATTAAGTACATAAATCTTTGTATTCAGAAAGGAGGAATCCTGAGCAGGAGGAAAAAAAAAAAACCAACTATATAAGCACCTTGTTCTGAGCAGGATGAATAAAAACAAATCTACTCTTAGACACATTACAGATAAAAGGCAAAGAGGATCTTGAAATCAACCAAAGAAAAAGATTATCTACCAAGGAATGGTAATTAGACCGAAAGTAGACCTATCAACAGCTATAATAGAGGTGGAAAGACAGTGGAATAATCTTCAAAATGCTAAGAGAAAACAGCTGTTAACTTAGAATTTGATATCCAGCTAAACTATCATTTAAGAATGCAGGGGAGGCTGGGTGAGGTGGCTCACACCTGTAATCCCAGCACTCTGGGAGGCCGAGGTGGGAGGATTGCTTGAGCTTGGGAGTTCGAGACCAGCCTGTGCAAGAGCGAGACCCCGTCTCTACTAAAAATAGAAAAAATTAGCCCAGCAACTAAAAATAGAAACAAAAAATTAGCCGGGTGTGATGGCTCATGCCTATAGTCCTAGCTACTCAGGAGGGTGAGGCAGGGGAATCCCTTGAGCCCAGGAGTTTGAGGGTGCTGTGAGCTAGGCTGATGCCAGGGCACTCTAGCCCGGACAACAGCGTGAGACTCTGTCTCAAAAAAAAAAAAAAAATGCAGGGGAGAAAAAAAGCACATTTTCAGACAACTAAAGATTTACTTTAGGTTCAGACTGCCAGCCAAGGTTCTTGCTGAAAGGAACTACTGCCGTATATTTCAGGAAAAGAAAAATCTTATCTAGAGGGAAAGCTTGGGATCCAAGAAAGAATGTGAGCAAAGAGAAGGGTAAACTTGTGAGTATAGCCAAAAAGGCATGAATTGCATAAATAACAATAATAATAATAATAATCACTAAAGAGGGGTAGTATGAAAAGGTGAAACAAAATTTAGGCATCTTTGATAAAGATGGGAGAAAAAAATGGATGGTGACTGTGGACAACTAGTTCAAATGTTTTGCTACAAAGTAAACAAAGAAACAAGATGGTAGCTGGAAGGAAATGGGATCAGGAGAGTTATTTTTTGTTTTTTTCAGTTTTTGGGTCATGTTAACATAAAGTTAAAGACTGAGAACCATAAAACCACCTAGTATACATGATTTTAGTCCCTAATTTTCAAATTAAAAAAAACAGAATTCTTTTCATGTAAGTCCAAAGATAGTAGTGAGATAGGGAACTGGTAGTAGGCATTGCTTAGTGCAGAATCAAAAAGCTCCTATCACCCTGATATATAAAACAACAACAACAACAACAACAACAAAAACCACAAAAAACAAGATGTGGCAACAGAACAAGTTAACAATGGTTGTAACCAAAGTGGCAAAGAAATAAGTCATTTCTTGACCTTGCAGCTTATTATGCCCTCATTAAAATACGTTATTAGCTGCTAGAAGAAAGTCCCACCAACACCATGACAGTTCTAGGAGGGACCTTATAAAGTAAAGAAGGGGGAGGGTCCCAGTTCTAGGAACTCGCAGGCACTTTCTAAGAAAGAATATGAATATTCCTCCCCTGCTTAGCTTATGATTAAGCCATTGCTTAAATAAAGATATCAAAAAAACCACAGATGCTGTTCTCCTCAGCAGGGAGAATTAGCCTCTACTCTGTCTGTGGAGTAGATGTTCCATATTTCTTGAATAAAACTTGCTTTCACTTTAAGCCATTGGCTTGCTCCTGAATTCTTTCTTGCACTAAGCCAAGGACCCACCTGGACTTCAAGTGATTCCCAGCATTGGGAATGACTTTCCTGTGTCTGTACTACCAACGATATAAGTATTTGGAAGTATTACTCCTTTAAAAAACTTATCATAACAAATGTTAGGACATCCCAAAGTGAACAGTGTTGAGACTTTTTTGTTGCGTACACATGCAGCTCATTTAACATCTCCCTCTTCTGGGAGAGAGAGGGGAGAATTGCTGCAGCAATGTAGCAATGACCTTGTGTGACCTTGTGTAGGCAAAAAGAAGGGATGTTGTGCCCCAGTGGCGGGGAGGGATAGGTTTAAGGCAGGAACATAGGAAGCTCCTCTAGGGTAATAGGTGGGAAGACAGAGCGTGTGAGTGTGAGTGTGAGTGTGCACGCTGGCGGGGCGGTAGACCAGGTTTTGCGTGGTCATGGTGCCTTCTTCTCATGAAGAAATAGATAAGTCATTATCCCCACTGTCCTTAAAAGAAGAAAGAAGCTCAGGGGGGTTACACGGTCAGTAAGCGGTAGAGCAGAACTAAAGTTCAGGGTTTCCGACCACAAATCCAGTTCCACGTTTATGAGAGCTCCCCACCTGCTCGCAGCCTTCAGGTAAGTGTGTAGGTGTCCTTGGTTGCCGGACTGAACGTTTTGAAGGGCGGTGGTCAGCTTTACTGTTGTTTTGGTGCTGATTAAGTATCATCTGATTCAATCAGAAGACACGAACCATTCTTTAATGCAGAATGCATATAACAGAATAAGCATCGGAATTAAGGAAAACGAGTTCATAGGTGATTACAATGTGTGGCTGAGGATGAGGATCACGTGATTGCTGCAACACTTCTGAGACTTGAGACATCTGGGAAACCTTGTGACCCTGAATATTCCGATCGAGCCTTTCTAGAGGGAGGGCCTGGGAGTCTGCATCTCTAACCAGCTGCCCGGTGTTGCTCCTGCTGCTGAACCACAGACTACACGTGAGAAAGCAAGAAACAAGAGGTGGAAACAATCCCAACGTTTGTCAGCAGACTGATGGGAAAGTAAAACGTGGTCTGACTATAAAAAGGCCAGAAAAGGAAGAAAGTACAACTCCAACATGGGTGAACCTTGAAAACGTTACGCTAAGTGAAAGAAGCCAGATACAAAAGGCCACCTATTATGATTCCATTTATATGAAATGTCCAGAATAGGCAAATCTGCAGACACAGAAAGCAGAGTCGTGGTTGCCAGGGGCTGGGAAGAGGGAAGAGTGCAGAGTAGCTACTAATGGGCATGGGATTTCTTTTGGGGATGATGAACATGTCTGGACCCAGACTGCACAACATTGTGAGTGTACTAAGTGTCACTACTGTCATGGTAAATTGTATGTTATATGCATTTTACCTCAATAATAAAAAAATCCCCACGATCTCTTTAGTTTTGATATCCTATAGTTCTAGGAATTAAAGGGTTAAGAAAGGTAAACAGCTCTCTGCTCAAGGCAAAGGAGATGAGTTCCTTGGAGAGAAGCCTTGGCAAGTTTCCCGCAGGGGAAGGGCTCCATCCTGTGCAAAGAGGGGACGGCTTGGCACAGCCATGCGCTGAAAGGTGCTCAGGGCTGTGGAGGGAAGAGTCTGTGAATGTCCCCAGGCAAAATTAAGCAATCAGTCACATCACTGTATCTCTACAGAGTCGCCTTTTTGTACCCAGTGCTGATATCAGGAAGACGGAATAAGTCGTTCAGTTTTGCCAGGGAGCTCACAGTCTAACAACGAAAACTCTGGTCAGGCGCACGATGGAAAGACAGGCCCTACTGAGGACCAAGTTGCAACGTCCTGGCCCAGAGGGCTGTAGATGGTCCGAGGTGATCAGGGGTGATCAGGACGCTTAAGGGGGTGGGCACAAATGAAGATCAATTATCTATGCTAAATCAGCCTGAAGCAAGTCACTAAAATCCCTTTTTGAGCAACACAAATGATAAATATGGGAACCTCTAATATCTGTGCTGTATAAAATGGGGCCCAGCATCTGCCTTTCCTGTCACACTTTTGAAATGTGGTCTAGCTACTGGTACCATTAGAAAATGACTAATTGCTACTTACCATATGGTGGAAATACTCATTTTCTGGAATCATTTGGTTGCAATAATGACAGGAGATTTCCCTTCCAGGAGCTGAAATTCTTTCCCCTGAATAAGCACAGAAACAACACCACAAATGATTGCCCTTGATAATGGTGAGCCCAGTTCTCCCACAATTGCCTACAGGGCCTGTGCTCATGAGTATGCACTGCCCCCAGGCCTGCCTGGCCTTGAGTTCTCTGCACTGCTGGTGTCATAGGCCACACAGGCGACCCCTGGCTGCATCACCCACATCATTCCCTTCATGGCCACAGACGTGCACTCAGGGCTGCAGCAACCCTGATGGAGAGACGCGTTCCTAAAGCAGGACTGGTTGCTAAAGAGATGCAGGGAGCCGTAGCCACGGATGCCAATCCTATCCAATCTGACTGCTCCTTCACCCCCGCGGTTGCCAAGGTCTGTGATCAGAACAGGTGCTGGTTGCACACATCTTTGTTGATGGCGTTGGTGCTGTGTTATGTCGTGTTGACGAAGTTGTGTTGAAGACTGTGTTGGTTGTGTTGAAGCCCAACCATGCTAGAATGAAGGAAATGTACACGAATCGCACACTTTCCAGAGTTTCACTGGCCACTTTGACCTTGGGTAGATTGTTTAACAGGAGAGAGTTACTGTCCCAGGGGTTTTAGGCTCTCTCCCATGTTACCACGTTACCAAAACAACCAGTGAAGTCAAACAAAAGATCTGTCACTTTGATGGCTGTGTCCTCAGTATATGCACCTCATAAAGAGGTAATTGGGTCAAGAGAACATGACATGGTACCAGGGAGCCAACACATAGACCGAAGGCCAGGGGCTACAGCTAGCTCCCTTTCTGTCCTTTGCTGATAGTGGAAAAAGCTCTAGATTTGGTGCCAGGAAACTTGAGTGTCCGTTCTTATTTCTGCCTCCCACAAGCCCCTGCTTCATTCTGTGTGTAGGTTTCTCATCTGTGAAGAATGCAGGGGGTCTTTGCCCAGCTAGCCTTGTGCTGGAGAAGTTCAAAGAAGCCTCCTGTTTTCTAGGGCCCCCCATGGCCTTCTTGTCTGTGCAGCTGCCAGGCCCAACCCCTGGCCTCGTGGTCTCCCTGGACCAGCCATTTGAAGACTGTGGCAGACACACAAGAAGGCCACTCTAATGCGTGGCTTAGAACTAGAGTAGCCGGGTGAATCGTGGCCTTCATAACACATACCCTTGTCATCCGTCCTCTTGACAGTTTCCGTTCCTCGCATCCCATCCGGGAGAGGCTCTGGTCCTTGGAGCATCCCTCTCCCTCCCCGGCCTGTGTGCTCGCCTTTCCTGAGCTGGGCCTGTTCACTCCGACAGACGTCTTTGTGCTGGGCAAGCACTTCGAGCATGATGGACTGGCCGCAGTCTGGGCACAGCTCTGTCCGCTTGCCACAGTAGAACTCGTGGACCTCCAGCTTGCTGAGCCGCACAGCCAGCTTGCAGAACTTACACTCAGTAGGGCGCTCCTGGCATTCCTTGGCCTGTGGGAGGCAGCAGGAAGGGCATTATCACCCGTCTCAGTGACTGTAGGCCGATCAGGGACATGCGCCCATCTCCCTAGGGAATTGAGGCCAATAAGACAAAGCAGGTGAGAAGGGCCAGAGTGGGGACTGCCCTTGGGGAATCTGAGCTCTCTTGGACTTGTGGTCCAGGGAAAGCCCTTCTGACCAGCATCCGGGGGACAGGAGGACCTGTGTCCCTGTGGTGGGCTAGTTCTGCACCATCCTCTGAGTCTACTGGGGTGAGAAGAGAGTGGTCGGGTGGAAATCCCCCCTTCCTGTCCCTCTCTTCCTCCCAGCTTGGCTTGTTTGGCTATGAAGGAGAAATCACACGTGACTCTCACCTCGTGAAATTCCAGCAAGGGCTTCTGCACGCTCTGCTGACACATCGCACACCCAACCTAAACACAGGAGAGACATGGGTTCCCCCCAGGGCCCAAGGCCTTTCTTTCCACCTTGGCTCACGGTGTTCCAGGTCTGAGTCTGTGAGTTTCAAGGGGACAGGGATCGAGTGCGGCTGCCTCAGTCTCCCTCTAGCACCCAGCCCTGTACTCAAGAAGCATTTGCCGGACCAGGTTGAGTTGAAATGGATGCCTGAGCTCAAGGATCTCCAGAAAGACAGAAGAAGGGCCCCAGGAGGGATGGAGATGAAAAATTAGGCAAAAAAGTCAGTTCAACCTGACTGCCTTCTAGAACCCTCCTTTCCACTTTCCCTCTTCACAGATCCTGAAAGAACATCCAACCTTTCCCGAAACAGGGGCCCCTTGCCTTGGCCAGCCCCATAAGCCTGTAGGGAAAGGACTGGACACAGGAACACTGGGGGTGATGCAGTTTAGCGTGAGAAAGACAGGATTACCATTTCCTCTTCACAGACCGGCTGTGCATGGAGGGGCTAAGTGACTTCCCCTCACCAGCCCCTGAGTCGCTGCAGGGAGGACTGGACCCTCGCCCAACCCCCACGCCCCGTCCCTCCTGCCACCTCCTCACCTGCCGGTGGCTGTTCTTGCAATGCTCCTCCATCTTCACCCCTGGGACGGCCTCCTCACACTCTGGGCAGAGGACAAGGAACCGTAGGCAGTGGACCTCGTGGAGGGTGAAGTGAGCAGAGGCCACCTTTCTTTTGCTGCAGGATCGAGCGGGGGAAGAAAAATAGACTTATTTTCATGGCGTAAAACATGGAGCCATATTTCGCACCCAGGGCTAGGTTCTCAGAGCCTAAGCACTGAAAATATGGTGTCGGTGACGCCACCTGCCCCACGCACGCTCCCTGTGCTGATCCAAGATCAGAGCGATGCAACGTCTATAATAGGTGGAAGGACGCTCTGCAAAGGTCTTGCACTGTCCCCGGGGGAGAGTGGGAGGGAGCAGGAGGGAGGGGTTACAAAGAACACAAGGAAACTTTTGGGGGCGATGGATAGCTTTGTTATCTTGATTGTGCGGATGGTTTCACGGGCGTATGTAACATATATCAAAACTCATCAAATGGTGCACTTTAAAAACGTGCAGTTTATTCTATGCCACTTATACCTCAGCCAAGTTGTTTTAAAAATGAAATAACAAGTATTGAATTCTTTCCAATCTTTTCTTCTATTTTCTGGCTCCCCTGCGTGGCCCACAGCTGGTTAGCAACACAGCCCCACTCTGCCCAGGCTTCCCCAAGGACAATGCCAACTTCCAGAATCTCTTCCCGCACGAACTTCCCAAGTCTCCCAGCGCGAGGGGACATCCACCTCTCCCCGGCCTCAGGTTCACCTGTGCTGACCCGCAGAGAGGCCTCAAGTCTCTCTTCTTGGAGGCCCCAATAAACGAAGACTTCTGAGCCTCCCCCTTCCTGGGCAGGACGGTTTTCTCTAAAAATCCTCTTCACTGAGAAATGCCTCCTTTCCTTTCCATCAGCTCATGCTTAGGAGAGAGGAGGCTTGGTGGCTATAGCCGTAAAGGCCCAAGGGACCTTTGGGGGAATTACATGCCCAGGTTCCTGGATGTGGGACATGGCCAGAGAGGGACAGTCAAAGCCTCCCTCTTCTTGGTCTGAATAAGCTATTTGCGTCTGCCCTGAGCAGGAGGACGGCACACAGGCAGCTTCTCCCTCACTCCCCCTGCTCTTTCTGCTCTGCTGGGCCTGGCCCCTTCCCTCCTCTGCCCTTCTTCCTGGGCTGGGGAGAGACGCAGGGGCAATAAGGGTCTGGGTGGAGCAAAGTTCTCTGCAGAGGGTGCCCCCTGGCTCTTGCCACGAGTAGGGGCTTTGAGAGGGGGCTCTTCACCGGGCCAGGTCCTGCTTGGTTAGAGGTGTGGCCTGGGCCCCTGCCCTGCCCTCCTCACCCTCTCCCCGCTGCCCTGCCCTGCGCTCCCTTTCCAGGTGAGGGTGGGAACGGTCCATGGGCCCCCTTCTTTCAGAGACTGGTGCGAAGACCGTATTATCAGAACCCCAAATTAGGACCCAAGATGTGACAAGTGTGAGTAGCCCAGTAGGGACAGCTGGCCTGGCTACTGGGCTTCAGGACTGACCCAGAAAGTCTAAGATTTCGGGAGGGGATGCAGTCAGGGGAAGGTAACGCTGGCCACGTACCCCACGGGCTCCCGGGTCCCACCAGCTCGCCCTCCAAGGTGTCTTCATGCGCGACCACTTTCAGACACAGCCCTGGCCTGTCTCCCCTCTCACTAGCCGGCCTGGGGTTGGCCGCTGGGGAGAAAGCGTCTTCTTACCAGTTCCTGCACACCTGGAAGGCTCCTTCCATGTTCAGGTCTCTGGAGTATTTCCGTGGAGTTTCGTTTCTTGCAGACAAGGAAACAAAACTGAAAGTGTCCCAGTGGGCCGGCCCACAGCCTCAGGGAGGGAGGAGATTCTCAGAATTCTCAGCCCAAATTGCTCCGAGCTTCCCCTGGCTGGACACTCCCAGGAAGCCCCTCCGCAGCACGCCAGGCCCTGCCATCTCCCTCGGCCTGTGCTGTCACCCCGTGCTGCTGTCACTGGCTGTTTCTACCACCCTGCGGGTGGGAGCCAGAGACCAGGCCTCCCTGGAGCAGCAGCCCCTCCCCTCACCCAGCTGGCTTCACCCTGCCTGGGTCTCCATTCTGTTTCCCAAACCATCGACCTCCCTCTCCCTGCTCCCCTGCTCCTTCCTGGTCCTTCCCCTGCAGGAAACAGGGAACTCGCCACCTTGAACTTGAGGGCTGCTCTCTAAAAGCAGCTCCTGGACCTCCTGCACCCTGCTCTGGTCCCAGTCGGTGATGACTTTGAAAACAGGGTCCTCAGAGAGACTAGAGATCCAGGGTGGTGTGAGCCCAGACTATCGGCTTTGGAGTTGCATCCTGGGAGTGGGGTCACATACCCCGTGGCAGCTCGGTCGCCTGGGACAATTGCCTAGCTCCCTCAGCTGCTCCTCTTTCATTTGTAAAATATTAATTACAACAAATACTAATATGACAATAAGGTGACAGGCACTGTGAGGAGGTTCTGTCGTCATCACCCTGCCTCCAGATGAAGAAACTGAGGCACGAAGGGGCTGTGCAATTTGCAAAGTTACACAGCCAATGGGCAGTAGAATGCAGCTTTCCACCCACATGATGTCTCCCCTGGAGTGGCCACACGTTCGGGGTACCTGAGTCCGAATCCTGACAGTGTCATCAGCTGGCAGATTGAGTCACCTTGGCCTTTCTGGGCTTCTCTGTTTTCTCATTTGTTAGACTACACTGGGGACCTGGAGGACTTTAGGAGTCCAGTGGCTTCCAGAAATTGTGTGCAAAATTGCCTTCATGTGAAGATGTGCCTTTTCCTGAGGAGACACCAACATTTTTATCAGACTCTCAAAAGGGTCCACGACCCTAGACAATTATGAACAACGAGACCAGTTGGTCTAAAGTCTTTGAATCATTGAGATCCAAAGAAACCAAGTTCTGTTAAAGGCAACATATGTCCAAAATTATATATGCATACTTGAAGCAAGTGAATCTAGAACATTTGCAAGTTTGTCTACTTGTGTTCGTTTTTTTCAAAGGAAGAAGCATGGTGTTATGAGCTAGATAAATAAAAACGACGAAACAGTGTGTCTAATAGCTCAATGAGAACTGAAAAAATTTGTGAATAATCGTAACCCTATTAGAAACACTTTGATATTACATACTTCCTGCTGAATTTTTAAAAGGGGGTTTAATGTATATTTCTGCTTTCCCAAATTTTATTCATAAAAAATCAAGCCAGTTTTTAATTAGCTTTAATATTCACCTTTATTGTTTATAGACACAATTAAGATGTTAGTGTGCACTTGGAGAATTTTGATTGTGGTTTTGCACATTTGTATTTCAACTTCAGCAAGCACGCTGTGTACACAGCTTTACAATAGCTGATAAATACATAGCAGCTTAGCAGTAATACATGAGGAACTTTGAATGATGTTCATTTTCTTTTTCTTTTTTTTTGAGACAGAGTCTCACTCCGTTGCCCAGGCTAGAGTGCCGTGGCATTAGCCTAGCTCACAGCAACCTCAAACTCCTGGGCTCAAGCGATCCTCCTGCCTCAGCCTCCCGAGTAGCTGGGACTACAGGTGCACATGCCTGGCTAATTTTTTGTTTCTATTTTTAGTTGCCTGTCTAATTTTTTTTTCTATTTTTGTAGAGACAGAGTCTCACTCTTGCTCAGGCTGGTCTCGAAATCCTGACCTCAAGCGATCCTCCCCGCTTGGCCTCCCGGATTACAGGCGTGAGCCACCACGCCCGGCCACCTCAAATGATGTTCAGCATGTCAGAAATCCAAGAGCTATCGCTGTGGTGGGACTGGGTAGGAATTACCTGAAGCACTTAGCAGGGAGCCCAGCCGTTACAGGGCTGCCGGTGCTGGGGGTGGGAGCACAGTGTTTCCAAACTTGTCTGCACATTGGAATCGTTTGGGGAACTTAAAGAGAACAGTGGATCCCTGCTCACCCCCAGAGGGTGTGATTTCGCTGGTCCCACATGTGGCTTGTGCTTTGGAGTCTTTTAAAAGGTCCCGGGTGATTTTAATTGCAGGGGAGTTGGAGCCCCCGGTCTAGGAGGGAGAGGCTACTGGGGAAGCCAGGCGTTCAGAGTTCCAGGGCCAGAGCTGTGACACAAGCCTTTGGCCTTTGGCTTTGCATCTGAAGGATGAGGGGATGGGCGTAGGTGAGTTTTATCCTGGACGTGGAGATGAGTTATGTGGGGACAGTCCTTGGCCCCAGGAAGACTGGGCCTATGTTGCTACAGAGAGGACGGCCAGGATCAGTATGTGGCCCTGGGCTTCCTTCCAGCCAAGCCATCGCGTCTGTGGACGGACCTCTCGGGGACAGAGCGGAGCCAGCCCCAGGAGTGGGACCGGGAGGGTCTGGGATGCGGTGAGCACGCAGTTCTCATGTCTCGGGGGAAGAGCAAGCTCCCTCTGTGGGTGAGCTTGCGGGAAGCCCACCTAAGCCGAGGTGCAGACGAGCTCTTGATCCGAGCTGGCCCAGGGTAGCACACAGGGAGAGAAGGGGTGGGGGTGCCACTGGGATGTGGGAACCGGATGTGGAAGCTGCTTACCTTCCCCTCTGGCTCGGGAGACCCACTCTAGTGTGTATCCCTGTGGGGTCCTGAGAGCTTGCAAGACCCCAGAGACAGCCGTGCTAGCAGCAGGACTCTGCACCACCACCTGGAGCCCTGACAAGCAGCCCAGAGAATTCTTGTGAAGTCTGCGAGTGGGGTGGGAGCAGCCTTTCTGAGCAGGGTACTGAGATTAAGGAAAATGCCCAGACACGGGCTCTAGCCTCTGGGCAGACTCTAAAATTCAGGCATCAAATGGGGACAGTGGATGGTCATACTAATGATCAAAATGGCAGGAGGTAAGAGAGGGCGGCTGCTTCCACACTTTCTGCATCCTGGGCATTATACAAGCATTATATTTGTTTCTAACAAATATAACATTTATTTGTTTCTAACAATCTATCTAACAGCTCTGGTGGAAGGATTATTACCTTCATTTTGCAACTACGGAAGAGGCACAGAGAGGTTAAGTCAGTTGCTCCAGGTCACACAGAGAATGTCAGAGCTGGGATTCAAACCGGGTGGATCTGACTCAGGAGCCTGTGTACCTACCCACAACCCCACCCACCTCATTGACAGCTGGTGGGTGGGGGGAGCACTGGGCCAGGAGTCAGAGAGACGGGGGTTGGCATCCTCATTCACGTCCTCGTCAGCTGGGCAGGCCGCTGAATGCCTCTGACCTTTGCTTCCCACTCCTGTCTCTCTCCGGGCAGTCTGAGCATCAGCAATGGTGAAAAGCAAAGAGCTTTCACACACCGTCTCCTGCTGAGATGCCCGGGGTGGGGTGGTGGGAGATACAAAGGAGGGGTGTATAGGTGGGACGTCCTAGAGGACAGGGGCATGGGGCATGGGGGTGCAATTATTATAGAAGTGTCCATGACTTGCTTTTCGTCTACATCCTAATTTTCTTCTAAGATGTTTCCTCTTGCAGACTGTCCCGCCCGGCACCACCCTTCCCTTCCCCACCCTTCCCAGCAGTGCTTTAAGACCAACGCCTGTGCTACCACTGATACAGGAGCCCCCTCCTCTGTCTTTGGTGATGTCCCCACCAAACCACAGGTGCAGGAGATTCACGAGGAAGCGCTTTCCGGTCGTCACTTGCATGTGCTTCCTGCCCAGCAGGCAGTGGAGTACCGGGCTTCGCACCGCGGGCAGTCGAATGCTAGCTGACCCGAATGGTTGTGTTTTGAGATAATTAAGCAGGAAGTTAGAAATCTGCCCCCACCCACACAACACCCCAGAACCTGAGGGCTCTCAAAGCAGCCGCAATGGCCATTATCTTTTGATTTTTCAAGAGAAGTTACGATCACACAGCTAATGCATGAATATGCTTTCTGTTT